TAGAATCAAGCAGAGAGACAGGGGGACATCCTACCACCAAGAAAGTAGTGCCAGGCGCAGAGTGTGTCCTTTGGACCCAGGGTCCCCATGCTGAGAAGCTCCTAGGTCAGGGGAAGATCGATGACAAAGACCTTCCTCCAGAGCTGACAGAGAGACAAAGCCTTCCCCTGGAGCTGGTACCCTGAATTTTGACTTCTAGCCTACTAGACTGTGAGAGAATAAATCTGTTTGTTAAAGCCATCCACTTGTGGTACTTCTGTTATAGCAGCACTAGATAACAAAGACAGTTGAAAAACGATCAGATCTGAACATTCCCTTCATTTTGTAAGAAGGTAAAGAGAAGAATAGTATAGATGCCTTCTTAACTTCCAAATAACTTACTCTCCATATTAATGGACACTTTATAAAATATAATGAGTTGCTGAACTCATTTGGCTAGTGGGCTAATCTCTGGGATCCTATGCTCTATTGCTTTTGAATCATGTGTTTGATCCTAAATCATATGCTTAGCAAGTTGAATCATAAGCTTACTAAGAATCAGTTGCATTTGTCCCAAGACTTATTAAATGATTTGTAATTAGCATTGTAATTATGTAATTCAATTGACCATTGCATAAATAAATGAGTAAGTATGTAAAGGAAGAGAGCTGTTTCTGTGGATACTTTGACAAGATTCAATAATAATGATTTGCTTAAAAAGTTTCTGCTCAATAACTGAGGTGGACAAAGCAACTCTAAAAGACTGGAAATTTTACAAAATACAGGAATTTCTGCAGTTATACTCCTTCTCACTCCACTTTTGAGAAAATAAAACTGGATGTGTGCATGTGAGACTGACAGATCCAATACTCAAAGAAAAGGCCTTGCCCCCTAAATTGACAAATAAATGTACATTTATATATTTAAAATTAAATTAAAATGTTTAAACGACATACATTATTCTTTTTTCTTACTTCAAATAATAATTTCAAATAACTAACCATTATATCCTAAGTTTGGGTGAAACGGCTTCTACAGTATATGTCAGAAAGGGAGCATTTTAAGTGTGAATTTCTTAGTACTGTAGAGAACAAATGAAAGGATTTTCTTTTTTTTTTTTAAATAGCAAAAGGTAATCACTGCAATGTTATACTTACTATACAAGGGGTTTTGGCACAATTCATAACCATATAGCTGTAGTGTTTGCATATCAAACATAAACATGGAATCAGAATGTACAAGCAGTTAAAATGTCTGATTCCATAATTTTGGAACATTCAGAGTCTACAGCAGAATGTAGATTGGGGAGTGTCTTCTTTACTCCATGTATCTTATTGCAAACTTTTGTAGTGAGTATAGGGTGCTGTCGGTTACCTTCTAGGGTACCCTTTACTGGTTGCTATATTCTTCCCTCATGTTCTGTGAGTGATGCCAGCTGTCTTCTTCTTCCATGAATTGACCTCAGTGGGATGGAAGCCACCTAGCCCACAAGATTATGCCCACCACCACTGATGACCACAACCAGTGACTGACTGACTGACACTTTGCTGTGATTTTTTTAGTTACAGTGGAGTCAGTCCCTGACTCATAGTGATCCCATGTACATCAGAATGAAATTCTGCCTGGCCCTCTTCCTGAAACATCCCCATGACCAGTTGCGTATCTGACCACTGTATTGTGATCCATAGGGTTTTCATTGGCTGATTTTTGGAAGTAGATACGCAGGTCTTTCTTCCTAGTTTGTGTTAGTCTGGAAGATTTGCTGAAACCTGTTGAAACCTGTTGAGCATCATAGCAACATGCAGTCTTTCACTGACAAACTGGTGGTGGCTGTGTATGAAGTGTATTGGCCAGGAGTCGAACCCAGGTCTCTCACATGGAAGGTGAGAATTCCACCACTGAACCAACACTAGAGTATAAACATTCAGGCTCCTTTCTTAAAGGAGAGATCAATTCTTGCTGTACTACATTCCCCATCGGATCAGCGTGAAGGTGGTCTCTAGCTGAGATCACACTGTTACCTGACTTTTACACCTTGCCCTATCTAGCTTCCTTCACCCACCTTCTTCTGGAAGTAACAAGTAACAAGTTGCCATCAAGTTGATTTTGCCTTACAGTGACCCCGTGTGTGACAGAATAGACCTGTGCTCCAAAGGATTTTCAATGGCTGATTTTTAGAAGTAGATTTCCAAGCCTTTCTTCCAAGGCACCTCTGGGTGGACTTGAACTTCTTTCAGTTAGCAGCTGAGCACGTTAACCATTTGCACCACTCAGGGATCCTTTCTGAAAGTATTCCCTGTATAAATCACTGGAACAAGAATATCCATCTCAGGCTCTGCTTCTAGGGAATCTAACCTAAGACAGTTGGTAATAGGAGTGGACTGAAAAGCAGACACTAAGGGTGGGATTCTGGAAATAGATTACTTGCTGTAGAGAGGGCAATGAGCACCCTATCGTTGATAAAACTGGAATATCACTATTTGCTGGTATTTGGTAGAAGTATGTTTGCTAAGACTTTCATTAGTAGTGAACTAGAATGGGATACAGGTAGAAGAGGATTCACTGGCTGGTGCAGTGATTCAGGTATTTGACAGATATGGGCCACCATGCACTAGTGACGTAAGCAATGTGAAGGTTGACTGATAACATTTAATAGGTGCCTCCTTCTCGCAGGGGGAGGGCACAATTGGCAAACAAATATAGAAGATGTGTGTTATTTGCATAAAAATATGGTAGGTATGGTATATTTTAGCATTTCTAGAGCATTGCTTCTCGTAACCTACTGGTGATAGTAGTGGTCAAACATCTGAAAAAAGCTGGTATTGATTCTGAATATGTATATGCATTAGCTAGATTTTCAATAACACATCCCAAGAAGTATTCAGCATTCATTCTGCCACCTCAAAACCTTCCCTGGAAATCCTAGACTGACCACAATCAATGCGTGGACTTTTAGTTTTACATTCCAGCCTCACAGGCTGAAGCTTAGTGAGTTTTATCAGGAGATATAAGTGAAATAGGCTGATAACATTTATGTCACCTGCTATCTTCCACACAAATTGACAAAATTCTCCCTTTATCTGCATCAGCACATTCTACCAATCCAGCTGGAAGAAACCTTGAGGGCAAGATGTGGTTGAGGTTGGATCACAGACCTATGAAGTGAGATTGAACCCTGTCATCTGCAAGAGTCAGCTCGCCCCAGGCTAGAGCCATAAACCCTTTTGGAGATTTCTGTAAGCATTCTTCATCTTTTCTAACACAAATAGGCAATTGCCTGGTAATGTGTATTTAGAGATTATATGACTGCCTTACTCATACTGGTAACAAGATATGGGTAATCTTGGCCTAGGAATTAAACGAAGCCCTTTGTCCATATGCCTCACCTCATGTCCCAAAGGTGGGGCTTGGAGGTTCTGAAGTCCCACTGACTTGTGTCTCTAAATCTTTGACACCACTCAGGCACAAGCTTGGTGTATTAGGTGGTGTCTCAGTCATCTAGTGCTGCTCTAACAGAAATACCACAAGTGGATGGCTTTAACAAAGAGAAGTTTACTTCCTCACAGTAAAGTAGGCTAAAAGTCCAAATTCAGTGCATCAGCTCCAGGGGAAGGCTTTCTCTCTCTGTTGGCCTTCTCATCAATCTTCCCCTGGACTAGGAGCTTGTCTGTGCAGGGACCCCAGGCCCAAAGGACACGCTCTGCTCCCAGCAGTGCTTTCTTGGAAGTATGAGGTACCCTACTCTCTGCTTGCTTCCCTCTCCTTTTATCTCTTGAGAGATAAAAGGTGGTGCAGGCCACACCCCATGGAAACTCCCTTTACACTGGATCAGGGATGTGACCTGGGTAAGGGTGGTATTACAATCCCACCCTGATTCTCTTTAACATAAAATTACAATTACAAAATGGAGGACAACCACACAATACTGAGAATCATGGCCTAGCGAAACTGATGCACACATTTTTGGGGGACATAATTCAATCCATGGCAGGTGGAAACATTTAAGAAGGCACTCAAGTTAATTTTATTCCCTGATTTTAATTTACAGATCTTGGCAATACGTGCTTCTTCACAACACTTCTCTGAACTGCAATGGTTTTCTGGCCAAGTTCCACTGTCCCCTTTGCATGTATTTTCCAAGCCCTATTCCTTAATTCAAGATTTTTAAGCCCTATACAAGAATGAATGATGAAGAACTTGGCATATGTATCCTCACCACATTCTACTTTTCAAAGATTTATTCTACTCCCAGTAACAAATCATGCACTAGGACTGACACATCCTTGACTTTCACTCACAAACTACTTTAAGAGAAATGTCTTGGAAAATCTCTAAAACCATTTTCCCCCTCTCAATTTCCGTACTTTTAATATTTGCCTATTACATTTCCCATGATTCAAAATCATCCTCCCCAGATATTTGCCTCACCTTCAAAACTCAAAAACACTTTAGATTTTGGTACTTGGAATAGCACAGGGGTTTCAAACTGATTTATGTACAAACGGTTCCAAGTGATCTGTTTAGAGTACAAAAGATTGGCCTCCTAATCTCATCTATCTAGGCCCATCTTTCTCTCTGCCATATCTCTCATGGACATGCCTTCCTTTTTTTTTCAAAAGCAACCCCAAACACTCTGCACAGGTGACATCTCCTGTGGGAGCTTTAAGAAACCAACAATGTAAACTTCTGGCATAGCATAATTCTGGCTCTGGTTAAAGTACTTTTCTCAAGTATTGTGCTCACAGAATGGCCCTAGCTGTGAAATAATCATTATGTATACCATGCACTTCTTTCCTTGAAAGTATTTTCTAAAATAAATCATAATTTTTGCTAAGTTTAGCTTTTCTTTGTAGCATGTGGAAAGTAGCTTTTATTACTTAAAAGAACCAGACAGCATACAACTGGAAAAGTTTCATCATGAGCAGTGCCCTTTGGCTTAAAAGCTCTCTGGGCAGAGATGATGACTCTTCCATGCATACCCCACTTTGTGCCATGGGTAAGAGGCTTAGATGGGACCTTACCTGCTGCCAGTCTCCCCCTGCCCACGCAGGTCCACTTAAGTGTACTATAAACTTATGTTCTCTGTGCCCCACCTGCACCACAGCTGAGGAGACTCAGAAAATTTCCCTTTCTAGCTATTTTATACCCCAAGCCTAAGTGACTAATTATATCTTTTCAACCCTGCTAACAAACATCCTGCCGTATCATGCCCCTCTCACTTCCTGAGGCAGGGGCAGGGGGTGACTAGCCCAGAATTGTATCTTTTTAATCTTGCTTACTAATGTCAGGCCTCAGTGGGGGTTGTGGTTTGTTCTGAGGCCTAACTACACCAGGAGGAAGAGGAATGAAGACAACCATGGCCGCCTGGCTTGTCTGAAGGATTTGCTCCTCTCACTCACCATGGTAAATGTTGGTGTTCAAAATTAGAAAATGTTACTTGAGAGCAGAGACTTTATCTATTTTGATTACCGCTGTCTTTCTTACACCTTTAACAGTACTTGGCATTTGGACATTATTCAGTAAATGCTTGTTGAATGAGTGAATAAATGAATGAATGAAAGCATTATACATTGTAAAACAATGCATGGGCATGTGATAAAAAAATTCACTAACTCACAAGTTCTCTAAACAAAAGGCTCATATGAAAATTTAAAGATACGCTATTAGACAATACTTCATCACTAGCTCCTGATTAAGCTGCACATTATACAAAAGAAAGAAGTACATATAAGAACTCTTCTGCCTATTGTCACATGCAGCCAGAATACTATCTCAAACCATGATTAATTTTTCCTTTTTACAAGTGTAAGAAATGGAGAAAGTGCTAATACAAAAGGAAGAATAGCATAGGTTCTGAAGTAAGACTGTGTGAGTTCAAATTCTGGATGCACTGCTTAGTAGTTTTGTCACCTTGAACAAGACCACATTAATGAATTAATCCTTAGTTAATGAAAATGCAAGCTACAGATGATTCTCTGGTAATTCTATAATTTTAAGATTCTCTAAACAAGGCTGTCCAAGCTTTATAGATCAGGCACTCCATCATGATTTAAGCATGCACCCCAATATACATACCCCTATTTAATTTTACATTGTATCCATTTGCAAATATACTCATGTATTTAAAAATACAGAATATTCGAGATCTAAAAATAGGTGATTGTCTTAGTTATCTAGTGCTGCTATAACAGAAATACCACAAGTGGATGGCATTAACAAACAGAAATTTGTTCTGTCACAGTTTAGGGGGCTAGAAGTCCGAATTCAGGGCGCTAGCTCCAGGGGAAGGCTTTCTTTCTCTGTTGGCCCTGGTCTAGAAGCTTCTCAGTGCAGGGACCCTGGGTCCAAAGGATGCACTCCTCTCTTGGCCCTTATTGCTTAGTGGTAATGAGTTCCCTCTCCTCTCTGATCTCTTCCCTCTTTTATATCTCAAAAGAGATTAACTCAAGGTACAACCTAATCTTGTAGATTGAGTCCTGTCTCATTAACATAACTGCCTCTAATCCTACCTCATTAACATCATAGAAGTTAGGATTTACAACACATAGGATAACCACATCAGATCAAAAAATGGTAGACAACCACACTATACTGGGAATCATGGCCTAGCCAAGTTGACACATATTTTTGGGGAACATAATTCAATCTGTAACATTTCACCCTTTGACCCCCCCCCCCAAAATTCATGTCCTTGTGACATGTAAAACACTTTCACCCCATCATATCATCCCAAAAGTCTTAAATCAACTCCAAGTCCAAATTCCTTCCTCGGGCAAAATTCCTCTTCATCTGTAAAATCTAGAATACAAGTTATCTGCTTCCAAAGTACCATGGTAGAGTAGGCACAAGGTGTAGACATTTTCATTACAAATGGCAGAAATTGGAGGGAAAGAAGGGATAACAGGCACCAAGCAAGTCAGCAGAACACATTACATGTGCTCTCAAGGCTTGAAAATAATCCTCTGTTCTCTGAGACCATCTACACAATGGCCCTGCCCTCCAGACTCAGTGTTGGCCACACTTTCAGTATTCTTGGTGGAGAATCCTCAGCTCTGGCCTTCAGCTCTGCCCTCCAGGCCCACTGGGACAGTAATTCTGCTCCCTCGCATTTGGGTGGCCCCATTCTCTTAGTCCATCTGGGTGGCGACTCCATCCTTTTGGCCCTGGCAGGCCCCATTCTTCTGTCCCTTGGGCATGGCAGCCCCACCCCCTCAGCTTTGGGCAGCAGATCTGGCCCCAACCCGCTGACACTCATGAAAGATAGCCACACACTCCAGAACTGAGTTGGTGAAGATCTGACTCTTTGAAACCTAGGAGGCTGTGGCCCCACTCTTTGAAACTCCAGAGGCCATGGCTCCACCCTTTGAGACCCTAGAGGTCACGGCCCTACCCTTTGAGACTGAGGCAGCTCTGCTTCCTCTGTTCATTTTCTCTTCAGCTTCTGCTTCTTGGTTCCTTGGCCTCTCAGCCCTTTAGGGCCAGGGCCGGCCCAGTGTCTGCCCTGCTTGGGCAAGTTTGCTAAAGCTCTTTAGCTCTACTGGTAAGTGCCTGGAGGTACCTCACTCTGCCAGTAAACCTCAGCTGGAAGGCACTCAGCTCTCATGCTCTATGTTTCAGCAAGCCTGGTTCTACTGATAAGTGACCGTTGGCACTCTACTCTGCCAGGAAGCCTCCTGCCTGAAGGCACTCAGCTCTCTTGTTGCATGGGTTTGCTCCCACGCTGTCTTCTACTGGTCTCCTGGTTATTCTGCTGCTGTTTCTCTGCTTCTGCTTCTCACCATCTGTGCTGTCTGGTGTTACAGCTCTCCTCACTTCCTTCTGAGCCCTCACGAGAACTGTCTTTGATGCCCATTATTCCACCAACAGTCTCTTCAAGGCAATCTAGGCTTTTACTATTGGCAGTCTAAAACTCTTCTAGCCTCTACCCCTTTACAGTTTCAAATCCACTTCCACATTTTAGGCATCTGTTAGAGCAGCACCCCACTCTTGGTACCAAATTCTATCTTAGTTAGCCAGTGCTGCTATAACAGAAATACCACAAATGGATGGCTTTAACAAACATAAATTTGTTCTTTCACAGTTTAGGATGCTAGAAGTCCAAATTCAGGGTACAAGCTCTAGGGGAAGGCTTTCTCTCCCTCTTTCAGGTCTGGGAGAAGGTCCTTGTCATCTTCCCCTGGTCTAGGAGCTTCTCAGAGCAGGGACCCCAGGTCCAAAGGATGCACTCTGCTCCTGGCTCTTCTTTCTTGGTAGTAATGAGGTTCCCTCTCCTCTGTGCCCGCTTCTGTCTTTTGTATCTCAAAAGAGATTGACTCAAGATACAACCTAATTTTGTAGATTGAGTCCTGTCTCATTAACATAACTGCCTCTAATCATGCCTCATCAACATCATAGAGGTTAGGATTTACAATACATAGTGTAATCACATCAGATCACGAAATAGTGGACAACCACACAATACTGGGAATCATGGCCTAGCAAAGTTGACACACATTTTTTTTGGATACAATTCAATCCATAACAGTGATAAAGAAAGAATAAACAGTACGTGAAATAATTAGTGTTTTTTTTAATAATGGTTTATAACAGAAATCATTTTTGCTCTCAGTAAAAATATTAGAATGTATTTGTGTGAGAGTGATGTGATTTTACATGTCATATTTAAATAAATCATCACAGGTTTTATCTCCTTGTGGCTGAAAAAGGGCTCATATTAGGAGATGTATCAACTGTCATTTTTCGTTGCTTCTTTCTTGGTACTTGCATTATTGGAATTATATACAAACAACAGTTTATTGAAGGAATCTTTTTGAGCTATATGTCTACTTTTTTAAGGCTAGTGCAGTTTACGTAATATTATCTATAATTACACTTAATGAGGCACACAAAGTCTTTTTATAAAATTTGCTACAAGTTAGCAAATTTTACAAAAGAATAACAAGTGAAAGTGACACCATCAACACATCAGGATGGTCTGGATGTATTAAGGGTAATAAGATGTATTAGGGGTATTAGGGTGTATTAGGGGATGTGTGACCTATATGAGGGTCTGACCTGCAGAGCAGATGAAGGTGCCAGCATCCATCCATATATTAAATAGTAATAAAGATTGATTTCTTTCTCATATTTAGGTAATAAATATGAATAGAAGTTCTAATATTTTCTCCATTCTAGTCAATGTCTTTTTTACCCATCTTAGAGACCATTGCTCAAATATACATAAATATTTCTCCTCCTATCCTTGTATTTTTAAGACAGCATATTTTATTATTAATATATTTTAAAATTAACTTTTTAAGAAAATCAAGTAGTTCTTCCACACTAATAAGATTACTGTAATACAGATTTTCAGACTGTAAGTCTCAGAAAATAACTTTGGAAATGTTTATTTAAGTTAATCTTGTGAGGCTTCATCCAGATTTGATATTGTGGTTATAAGAGAAAAATTCCTTTGTTATAGCTGGAGGATGGAATCATAACCTTAACCCCAGTGAGAGAATACAGAATCTAATGAACTGTTGAACTATTGAAAATAATGATTTAAATGAATTTCTTTAATATAAAAATGAAAATTCCATGTTGAGGGAAGCAAAGATATCCAAAACTGCATGTAATTTTGCTGCCTTTCTATACTTTCTGTTGCTTCAAATGGTAAGCATCTTTAGGGCTTTGTAGTGAATCCGTGTAAGTTGGGTTGTGATTGTTATATAAACAAGTTTAAAACCAGGCCTATTCTTGGAGGAGTCCCTGGGTGGTGTAAACAGTTAACAGACACAGCTGCTAACAATAGAGGTCAGTGATTCAAGTTGACTCAGTGACACCTCAGAAGAAAGGCCTGACAATCTACTCCTGAAAAACCAGCCATTGAAAACCCTATAGCACACAGCTCTACTCTGACACACATGGGGTCGTCGAGAATTGAAATCAACTCAGCAGCAACTGGTGTTTTATTCTTTAAGCTATATAACTTCGGGCAAATTGTTTTACCTCACTAGGCCTCAATTACCTAGTCTGTAAAACAGAAAGATATTAATATCAACTGCATAAATAAACTATTTAGCAGAGTGTCTTGTCTGCTTGATGATTCTAATACCATCTGTGTCTGTCTTAGGTCAATTTGCCTTGCAATTTATTACTTGTTCTTTCCCTGCTCTGC